CGTTTCTAATCCAGTCTTGAGTAATACACTCAAAAGGAAACCTTCAGTTGACAATGGCGCATCTCGCCCAAGTCCTTCAAAACTCTCCAGGGTTCCAACGGTGCCCATCTTCGCGTCGACGGAGCTATGCAGCACAGCGTTTCCATACCTGAATACGCCAACGACAAGCAATGCTAATACAGTTGTGGATGTCACTGATAATCCTAACAATCATAATCATAGGAATAATACCCAAGTATCCATCTTCAATTCCAGATCCACCTGGATGGACCTCAGAGATGAAGACATACTACATATGTACCACCAAGCCAAGAAGTGTACAGAGGAAACGAGGCGCGCAGAAGCGCTAGAATTAAAACTATCGAGTTCAAACGACATTCTAACCCGTTGTCGCGATGAGAACAGGGCACTCCTGGACCTACAAAAGCAGCATGATGATGAACTTGAGGAAACCATGGAAAACCTTCTCAAGGAACGGAAAGCGGAACAAAAGCAGCTGAAAGCGTATAATGAAGCCAAGCTGAAGCTGTTGGAGCAGATGGATCAGCTCAAGACAGAATTCAACAAGATTAAAGTTGGCGCTTCAAAAGTCATACACCCTGGCATGTGGAAGTCTGGTGGGATGGATGCCGCAGCTGCTCAAGTGATAAAACTTGCAGCGCAAATTGAGGAGACGCTAAAGGTCATAGTATCTTCAGAAACCAGATCGCCATCGCAAGTTCCTTCAGGAGATCACATGTTTCTAGGTACTCCGTACTTAGAACCTAGGCCTTTTCTAGAGGGAAATGGAATGAGCGGGTAAAATAAATATTGAGTACAAAGAGCTTGTGAGTTGAATGTGGGATGGTTGGTTGCAAAATGTCTCTTTTCTGCTTCTTTTATCTTATTTTTCTATTTTTAATTTGCAGTTATTTTCCCTTAATTTTTGATTACTTGTTAAATAAAAGCAATAGAATCTCACTCAGTGAGTAAATATTAAAATTTCTGTATAAAGTAATAGAGGGGGAAAAGTTTCTGATTGTAAACTGAGGAATCAAGAATCTGCTGTCACAGAAATTGAGAGATATTCCTACTTTGTGATCTCTCCCCCTATACAAATTTTTGCTTTTTCTTTCCTTCTTTGATAAAATGATAGAATGAGCTAAACTGGGATCTTGCCTTGCTAGTGTGTTTTATGAACTCTGAAAAACACATATGCTGTAGAGTACATATCTAGATACATAGTATTACATGTGTTACTTATCTTCATAAGCCTTTCCTGTGTTCTAGAGTTCAGAACTAAAATAACCTGTAGGAGAGTATTGACTTAACTATTTAAAGAGAGAGTGAAATACTCAACAGAATGAATGTATACAGTAAAGCTGCCATATTATATAGGTGTGGAGATAGTAGATACAATGTAAATTCCGGTTGATGCTGAGAAACCTCTTGAAACAAAACTATGAGAGAAAGAAAGTTCACCAATGAGACAAATCTCCTGATTTGAGTAAATATAAAGAATGATCAGTTGTCTATGTGATTCTGGTTGCTATGAAAGCAACAAAGCCTGTGTTGTTCCATCACAGATATAAAATCAAGCCCCCTTTTCTTCTTCATCTTCTCTTCTCCATTTCCTATCAACCCTTTCTCTCTAATCCTCTCCCACAACACCCATAAGGACATCTCGAAGCTACAAAGCTCTTAACTTTCAAGGGGAAAATAATAAATAGCTGGTGAGTAACTCATATGGTTTTCTTTAATTCTCTCTCTCTTTTCATTTTGTTACTTTCGATGCCTTTTGAGGGCTGATCGCTCTCCCGATCCATGTCACATACCTGTTCACTCCTCCCCCACAACACCACACCTACCTAGGGCCACACAAAGGTGTTTCCTCTAGACTCTATTGTATGCTGATCAGCCTAACAGTGATCTGTGACCAAGGCTCTCTCTCTCTAAGGTCGTGCAAGTCAAGAAATCATGAGTTGGAACGCGGGAGGCGTCGATGGTAAGTCGAACAATGCCCCTGGTTGCCTCAGCAAAACCCCGTATCATACCACACAATCCACAAACCAGAGGGATTCTTTAGCTTGCTGTTTTGTAGACGAGACCTGGAAACTGGATACTAAACATGGTCAATGTGTTAGATGCCCACTGGAACGAGGGGGGTGAAACATGGAACGGTACGGTGGAACAGATTGGATATGATGTCGGTGACTTTGGTGAAAATGAGGTTGGAGGCAAAGATGATGCTTGCCGCAAGTAAGCAGAACCTAGAATCTAACATCAGAAGAGTGCCTAATAACAAAATTTTCTACCAGTTGTGGTCAGTCTGGCCATTTCGCCCGCGACTGCACTGAGCCTCGCAAAGCCACCGGAGCGTGTTTCAACTGTGGTGAAGAAGGGTAAGTCATGGATTCTATTTTGGCAAGAATGGAGATTTGATTATTGATATCTGCTCCTTAGCCACAACAAGGCGGAATGCACGAAGCCTCGTGTTTTCAAGGGGCACTGTCGAATATGTGAGAAGGAAGGCCATCCTGCCTCTGAGTGCCCCGAAAAACCGGCGGATGTCTGCAAGAACTGCAAGGAGGAAGGTAAATTTTGTCACCCTAGCTGACTGCGAGCAAGAAGTTATGCAACTGTTAATTTCACCCTCAATCGGAAATAGGCCACAAAACTATGGAATGCACCCAGAATCGCAAGTTCGACCAGCACCATATTCCAGATAAACTCCCGGAACAGGCATGGGCGATTCTCAAGAAAGCTAGCGACGAAAAGGATCTTGAGGACTTTCGTGAGGTAAAATATTTAATACCTCTATTGCTAATCCCGCTTCTTCATTTCTGATATATCGGCGCAATAGGGTATGAAAGTATACTCCAAGGCAGTTCCGCTGGCGACGTTCGACCAAATTGAGAAGAAGATGCGAGAAGAGAACTTCAAGGTGTATCTCATTGGCCTCGTAAGATTGCCCACACAATCCTACGGGTTATTTGAAATATGAAAATGTTAATAACTGTGTCCTGTATAGGAGAAGGAGATCACCGACTGTCATACTCTGATTAATCTTCAGGGAAAGTTGAACTGCAAATACGTTGTCGGTTACTACTTCAGTGATAAACCCCAACGTCCCAGCCTCAAAGAGCGCTGGCCAGAATCACCCGAAGAGAATCTAAAGCGCCTTGTCGATGCTGGCATCCCGCTTGACCGCCAGATTCCTAAATGTGGCAACTGTGGACGTAAGTTCTCCGTCAATCCAGGTTAATCCAACAGGGTATCAAGCTGACTGTGCATTTTTCTAGAAATGGGACATGGACCGCGCGCATGCCCAGACGAGCGTTCAGTCGTCGAGAAGGTCGAGGTTAAGTGTGTTAATTGTAACGGAATAGGACATCGTGTTCGTGATTGCACGGAGAAACGCGTTGACAAGTTTAGCTGCCGTAACTGCGGGTGAGGGACCTGGTTTTGCGCTTCACAGGGAACTCGCTGATCGCTAACCGATCCTCTCCTAGTCAACCCGGTCATCGTTCGTCTGAATGTACCGAGCCCCGTTCAGCTGAAGGAGTGGAATGCAAAAAATGCAACGAAGGCAAGCCTGATGATGCCCTCCGATGCACCTGGGGGAAGCTTCTGACATTCTCGATAGTTGGCCATTTCGCTAAGGACTGCCCTCAGGGCGGCTCCAGAGCCTGTCGCAATTGCGGGTTGGTTTAGTCCCCAAAAATACCTTGCCCTAAGATAGAGACAAGACCGCTGACTAAAATACGGTTCTGCAGCGAGGAGGGTCACATTTCCAAGGAGTGTGACAAACCTCGCAATCCGGATACAGTTACCTGCCGTAACTGCGAAGAAGGTGAGGAAAATCGTCCCTACCACTTTAAATAGTATATGAAAATATCCAGTGTGGTCGTATCTAACAAATCATTCTCCCCGCAGTTGGTCATTTCAGTCGCGACTGCACCAAGAAGAAGGACTGGTCTAAGGTTCAGTGCAACAACTGCAAGGAGAGTAAGTACCCATCAACCGCAAGACATGTTCCCTCATTTTAGCAATACATCCCACTGATGAAGCTCGACCTGTTAACCTCATGATGATAGTGGGCCATACGATCCGGCGCTGCCCCAAACAAGCAGAAGAAGGCGATGGCTACGGCGACGGCGGCTTCGCCAACAACCCAGTGGACGACATGGGCTCAACCTGGCAAGATGATGATGGGGTCCAAGATAACACACCTAGCTGGATGAATGCCGGCGATGGCGGCACGACTGTCCCCGCCTGGTAGATCGGCTCAAACGGGCCGTTCCATTAGCGCGGCAAATTGAGCTGAGCAACTGCCTTTTGCTCTGATGGTGGAGGTTGGCAAGCCTGGCTAGAACCGAAGGGCCAGTGTACTTTGCTAGGGCTAATTAGAATGATGATGAAGGACAGGGAGGAGGGAGCGAGTACTGAGAGGCCTCGGAAATGTGGTTGGTGGTTAACACGAGAAAAAGAAAAAAAGAAAGAAAAAGAAAAGAAAAGAAAACAAAAAAGAAAAAGAAATTCACAGAAAAAAGCAATGAAAAGTTCAGGGGGGAAAAAAGAAAAAGGAGAAGAGAGTGAGAGGGGAAAGGATCATGTCACAAGACAAACATGCTGGGAATATATGGCTGGGTTAGTCTGACCATCTTCCAATAGAGCAATGAAAATGATTCCCTGGTCTGGAAGTGTCGCAGCACCTTCACCCATCCCCGCAATCGGCTGGGAGAGCGCGCAATTCGGCTTCAAGGCAGGGGGGGTGTGCGTTTTGAAACCGAGCTTCTCGGAAGCCATGTCCAACAATGATTCATTGATCGCTGGTTCACATTCTTCGAGAAGAACAAGTTGTTCTCCGAAGAATACCGGGAGAGCGAAATACAAAAGCTGACCACATCGTAGAAAAATGATTGGCCGTTCGTCCACAGCCGTGGCCGTGTTTCAAGTCGAAGCTCAGAACAGCAGCCAGCAAATAAAAATGTTTATTAGACTTCATTTCCCCCGCAGCTCATGCATGGATGGGCATGGCTTGAGAGTGAAGAATTGTGAATATTAACTTAACTTTTTCACTAGCTAGGATCTGGCGCCGTTAGAGTTTTTTCTTTCTTTTTTTCTGCACCGCCGAAAAAGCATATATCAATCCCGAAAGGGCTTGGGAGGATTGGCTTCTGGCAAATATATCTCAGCTCGCTAGTTGACGCTACGCTCAGCAACCATTTCTGGCTTCTCTACTCCGTACTGTGTATGTATGTTGTATCAGGTCTAATGGAACAGACAGAGTTCATCAGGACATTTGATAAATAAATAGGAGCTAAATAATGGTGCTTGGCTTATGCTAGACACGCGCGCTGCTTGCCACCGCAGTTTTATTCTCCCGCCATACGGGCCCATTTCCACCGCTTGGAATCTCCTCGCAGTGAGATCAATTCAAGTTCGTCGTCGAGCTAATCCGCTAGTGTCATAAATTAGTTATATCTGCTCTGCCGAATAAATGGCTGGACCTTCTCGGCGACATTTTTAAGTAAAGAGGCTCGCCCGAAATGGTCAGTTGCAGGGACATGGGCAAAGAATGTTAACATTTATTCAATAATGCTGACATCTCCGCGACCTTTTCTGAAATCCGAATAGCATTGACAGAGTGCGAGACGTGAGGCAGAGAAGTCGCATGTTTTGCAGAGAGAAAAGCAATTGCTCTCCAACGCGATGATAACCTATCATTTAAGTGTTTTCATTTATCATCGTCGTTTAACACGTTATCTTTACTCGTGCTGTGACAGGCAAGCTGCCCGCGGCCCAGCCACGGTGACTCCTCGATAGTCTTGTTGAAGCGGTTCGACAATTCAATTAATTGGACACACAAAACACGAATAACGCATCTAGTCAATGCAAAGTGAGTAGCGGATATATATTGGCAGAAGAAATAGCTGTACCCAGACATACATCAATTGTTCGCAAAGGAAGCAAAGCAATCCAGTCGCAGAACAAACCAATTGATCAAGCTCCTACAATATTAAACCACCATGCTATTTTCTGCGTCAATGTTGCTAATTCATTGCGCAGGCTTCAATTATCTATAATACTTCCCAAAGCACGAAGAAGTAAGTATACTGGGCACCCTTTCTCTTGTGGAGTGGCAGAGAGGAAGAAGACCTTAGTGTCGCGATTTGATTTGGATCTCTAGATTTATCGGCTTAATCAAATCGTGGTGACTCCTGTGCCTGAAAAGAAGAAGCAACTCAATTCTGTCAACTGGCCAAATCTGTCTGCCGTTCGGTGCTAGACAGTACAATTGGAAAATCTAGAATCTGCCGTCTATCGCTTTTTTCCGCAGCTCAATTGCCGGGCGCGGTGAGAAGCAACTGTGAACGGTGAATCCTGGTTAAGGGACATTCCTATCGGCCACTACTGTGTTACGATGGACAAAGTCACGCCTGAAAGGGAGGTCCACGACGACCAGGGAGAAGGAAATGTCAAAGACGACAATTCGACCAACCTACATGATGTCGAACAAGGGGATGAAGTCGATACAGAGACAATCGATCGCATCTATAAGTATGTAAATGCTCGTTCTCCTGAATCCTGATAATACACCAAACACATACTCGATGGGGATGAATGGAATGCTCTCTTGGTGGAAGGCGAGACAATAAATGCCAAAGGGGGGAAAAGAAATAATGACAGCTAACAGTACTTTCTACCTAGAAAAATTGATTGGCGAATCATCCCGCCATTTTGGACTTTGTATTTCCTTTGCGCAGCGATCCGTTCAAATATCGGGCTAGCCCAGACCATGAACATTGAACAAAAACACGACCTTGGCAACGAACTCAACATATCTCCGCAACAAGTCTCAACTAGTTTGGCTCTGTTCTATGTCTGCTACGTGCTTTTTGATCTGCCGTCTAATCTGATTATGACGAGGCTAAGCCCTCGGGTCTGGATGAGTCGCATTGTTATCAGCGTTGGTATCATTGGATGCTGCTTTGCTGCGGTCAAAGCTGCGTGGAGTTTATAGTAACTATCCCTTCCCTTTATATGCTTGCCATATTGCACATGCTATACTGTAATGGAGCGTCCCAAAGTAATTCAATTTCCCTAGTTTACTTCGGCTCCTCCTTGGAATTGTCATTGCCGGCATGTGGCCAGGAATGGCCTATTATCTCACTCTCTTCTACCCGCCCTCCCGCACCGGAAAACGGATAGGCCAATACTTCACCGCAGCGCAGGTATCTGCCGCAGTTGTCGGTCTCGTCTCTGCAGGCTTCCAGGAAATGGACGGCTTGAAGGGCCTTGTCGGATTCCAGTGGATGTTTCTTCTATACGGCATCGCAGGCACTCTCACCGGAATCAGTCTTCTCTGGTGGCTTCCAGAACGGCCCCTGCCCCCTGGACAAAAATTGCCTCCAAGACGACGATATTTAAGATGGATACCTCAAACGCGTCCGGTACTTAAGGGACGAGATGCGGAGATACATTACCATGATTTGAAACGTGTTTACCACAGCACCCAATGGACCATGCGAGATCTTGCTGGCGTGTTGATGGACTGGCGGCTGTGGCCTCTTACGCTCATGTACTTTGGCGTCGTTGGCGTGGGAATCGGCGTGCAGAATTACGGAACCGTTATTATTAGAGGGGCCAATCCGTCACTTACGGGGGTTCAACTAAGTTTACTATTCGCTCCAATTTGGATTGTACGAAGAATCCTTTTTCTTTTTTCCTTTTCCTTCTCCTCTTCCTCCTTAGCTTTGCTCGACCCCGTATCTCCAAACCCAATTAAAAAACACAAGAAAAATCCAAACCCATGAATAAGAACCATGAACAGCTGCTAACGCCATGAACAGATGGACCTCATCGCCATCGTCCTCGTAACCCCTTTCTCCGACCGCTTCCACCACCACCGCGGCATCTTCTTCATCGTCCCCGTCCTCTTCCAAATCCTCGGCTTACTCCTGACAACCTATGCCGGCTCCGTCACGAACGCCTGGCCCCGCTACGGCGGCCTGCTGATCGTCGGCTTCGGCCTCGGCCCTACCGTGCCCATAACCATGACATGGACGAACGAGCTCTTCCAACCACGCCACGGTGAGGTGGGTGTCGCCGCGGCATCCGCTCTGGTCTCTGGCTTGGGCAACTTGGGGAGTATCCTCACCACGTACGCGCTGTATACTGGCTGGGACAGCGACCGCCAGGCGACGGGGATGAAGAAGTATCGGAAGAGTAATTTGGTTATGATTGGGATTCTCTGTAGTAGTGTTGTGGCCGCGATTACGTTGGAGGTGTTGTTGAGGATATTTGGAGGGAAGAAAACAGGGGCGGGTGGGGATGTGGATGGAGTGAATGGCGATGGTGCAGCTAAGAGAGAGGTGGAGCAGAGAGGACTGAAGGGATTATGGCTTCTGAAGCTGTTCGGGAAGTAGGTGCATTTTTTTTTTTTTTTTTGTTTTGAGATCTGAAGGTATTTAAAAATAAAAATAAAAGGAGGATTGTTTGATCGATCAGAATGGCATTTTGGAACTAGGAGAAACGAACAACATTAACTATTTTGTTATTAAATTATTCAACGTAGCCAGCTTCGTTTAGTGAAAATTGTACTTATTTTTTGTACTACGGGGTATGACTGACTATATGCAATTTCGATTTCCCCGAGTGTCTTTTATCAAGCGGGCAATCATCATCTCCTTCCAACGCTCGTATCCACCACACACATACGGATAATTGCCGCGCGCTAAAGCCAACAAGTAAGTCCAAGCTGCATCCCACATTCACTCCAGAACCTCACGGGGAGATGCTGATCATGCCAATTCCAAATAATAGGATCCATATTCAAGATCTAGCTACTAGTTTTCTACATCTTTACGTCGTTTTGATCAGTTTTCCACACACATATTGCGATGCTGGCGCGCGCGTTTAAAATTGTCTCCCGTGGATGTCTGCGATAGCCTCAAAAAGTGGCCAAGACTGATATCTACATCAGGAAAAACAGCAACATGCAAAATCGGGGCATCTATATCCCTTATAACTAACCCAATCAACTTGCCCTACCCATCTCAAGAAAAGAAAAAACGAAAAGAAAAGGGTTAAACCCAACAAAAATCAAAAATGGACCGCCTACCCACTCACTATCTCAACATGCTCAGAACTCCTCTTGTTCTTCTCATCATCGCTCACTGCAGCAGCAGAAGCAGCAGCAGAAGCAACAGCATCCGGACCTTTCCGACTACTCTTCTCAGCCGACCACTTCAAGAAATCCCTCGTGGGGACATTATGCTCAAAAAGCAGATCCAATTCCGCGGGAGACCTTCCGCCCATCTCTGGCACAAGCATCCAAATCAAACCGCAGCTCAGGACAGATAGACCAAAAAATACAAACCCGGTTTTAGCTCCAAGATTACCTTTGTCGGTGTTGTAAATGTATGGCAATACAACTGCAAAGATGCATGCATATATGCCGTGCATGGCCCAGCCGACAGCTTGCGTCCGACCACGGAGTCGAAGGGAGGATGTCTCTGCCGTGGCAAGGACAGAGACGGGCCAGATTCCGTTTCCACAGACAAAAATGATGACGATCATACCTGCGGCAGTGATCCTAGGAAATCAAAAACAAAAAAAAGAAAATTCAGAGATCAGCATGCCATATCTTCAACTTTCAGGAAACGAGGGGAAAAGGAGACGATTGGCAGTTTCAACGCGGCGCGCATGATACATGAATTGCCAAAGGAGTGGAATGAAAAAGCAAAAAACGTACCATTTCGTCACCGGGCTATCAAAACATCCCGAAATCCCTATTGCGCCCCAAAACAACCCAGTGAGACCAAGCGTCCACAGCATAAGCGGCCTCCGCTTCGCAACAGATAATGTCCACACAGATATGATATTCGCGACCAGGCCCACCGCAATACCAATCTCCAACAACAGAACACTCAAGAAAGGGGGGATGCCAACAGTCTGCGCAAAGTAGCTGGCAGTCGAGAGCAAGCCCAGTCCGAAGTTCTGCGGCATCATATGGCACACCAGCACAATAATGGTTCTCCGCAGATCAATCCCTCTAAAGCAATCGATGAACCGCACCTGCGAACCCAGCCTCTTCATCATCTCCCGCTCCTGCTCCAAAATCTCAACAAGCTTATCCACCATCTTATCTGTATCAACTTCTTTCCGATGAAGACGTCGCTGCGCCTTGCGCGCTTGATCTATCTTACCCACACGGATAAGATGCGGCGGGCTCTCAGGAATGAAAATCGTAATAAAAAGCAATATTACAGAAAACAACCACTGCGACGCCACGGCAATCAAATACCCGTCCCGCCCCTTGACAGACAAGCAAGCAAACACAACCAACGCGCCGATAAGTTGCCCCGTCATCGTCATCACGGGTAGCAGCGCCTGACTGGAACCCCGCAGCGCTCGCGTCACGATTTCAGAGGTGTATATCTGCACGGTACAGACCACCTGTCCCGCCGCGAAGCCCTCCACAAGCTTGCCCACCAAGAATATGCCCCGACGGGCGTCGATGCCGGCCGCGAAGGCGGATGCAAAACAAATGGCGATGCCAATGGCGGATATCAGGGCGCCCAGCATGAGCGAAAAACGGCGGCCGAAGCGATCGCATACCCAGCCGGCGACGGCTGCGCCAGCAATGTTGCCTATGGATGGTGCGGCGGTCCATACTCCCAACCATGCGGAGGGGATAATGGGCTTTCCTCGGAGTACTTCACCAAAGTCGCGTCTGTTGTGAAGAGAAGGGAGAAAGGGAGAAAGGGAGAAAGTTGGCTTTTGATCGAGACACGGATAGTTTTGAGAGGAGTTTTGTGCGTTTGTTGAGCTAAAGGGGGATGGATGGCAATAGGAAAAGAAAGAGGGGGTGGTGGTGAAGAAGAATACCAAACTACTCACTGGAACTCAGGCATTGCAGTCAGAGTGCTGACGATGACCATGTCGAATCCATATAGCAATATACCAGGGCATGCGGCAAAGACATATCCGACGACTCTAGGGAATCGTTTGATAGACTGCAGCAAGGTCAGTTCGGCAGGATCGGCATTGTCGACCTCGTAAACGCCATCGTTGCCGTCGTCGCTGGTATCATTGATATTGGTGAGACTATTATTGCTAACGATAATACCATCATTACTATCACCTGTCGCTACCAGCACCGTCGTCGCCGTCGTCTTAGCGGGGACCTTTTCCTCGTCCACAGCCATGTGTCGGTTGTCGGTTGATAGACTACCAGGATCGAGGCACAGTGTGTTCTGCTGCTGACGGGAGCAGGAACTAAAGCTGGGAGGCGGCAGGGGATGGATCGCGCTTGCTCAATCAATTCTTCTCAGGCTTATAGTACCACTCAGGTAAGGAAGGTTCAACGGGGTATATGTGTAATACAAGCGACTGACGACTGCGCAAAAGAGCAACGGAGTAGGTCCCTGATATATATAAAAACAACACCGAGTCTATACGCTATGTATATATTTTTTTTTAAAAAAAAAAAGGAAGAGTGGATTCGATTTCAAAATTCAATTCCAATTCCAACCCCGCATATTCCCTCGTTATAAACAACGACGACCGGGAACAACCTACGGCCCTCAGTCCTTTCAATAAATGAGAGGAGGAGGAGGAAGAAGTGGAGGAGAAGTAGGCGTAGGTCACAAGCTCCCACAAGCCGCTCTCTACCAGTAATATATATATATAAAAACGAGAGAGAAGAGAAAGCAAACCCTTTCCTTTCCTCCCCAAGCAAGATCTAAAAGGGCCGGCACAGGCGATCTATTTATTAAATACTCGGACAAATAGTTAACCTGCAGAGGAAGAAAAAAGAAAGAAAAAAAAAGGAAAACCGGCGGTAGGGGTAAGGTAGGGGACCGGACCACCACCCTTTCCCTTGAGCAGTCTAGTCTAAGCAAGGGTCGCCCCGAAGAAAGGGCCTACGCAGTTAATAACCACTGCACTAATAATTGCCGGGGCTGTCGTCCTTATTATTCAGGGTCTGCGATCCCTAAACCAAACCGACAGCGCATTCCCCGCTAGCAGCAAAATTAACCTTTTTGTGGCTGGCCGGCGTAGGGCGCTCTGAACGTTGTTGGCCTTGCAATGGGACCCCCCTTTTTTTTTTCCTGTCGCGTCGCCGTTCGGGGCCGGGCCAGAGGTTCGACGCACCGCCTGCATATAAAGCGGAAAAAGAAAAAAAAAAGCAAAGGCATGTTCCGCCGCGCGGCATATGCGTAGAAATCACAAAGAAATAAAGAGGTCAGGAAAGGGAGAAAAGTCTTGTTCAGCTGCGACTCTCCTTGGAAAGATCTTAGTTAGGGGGGCCAAAACATCCCTTTGGAAAGGTGGGTTTATTTTAATTTTTCTTCACCTTTTGTTTGGCGTTGTTATGTAACTAGTTAGTTACAGTTTGGCGGCGGAATTAGATTAGATTCCTCTAGAATTCGTCAGGCTGTGGCATGAAATAACAATAGTAGTTCAAGACTATCTCTCGACGATTGCTAACTTAAATAATTATTCTTAATCCCCATGAGGCCAATTTGGCCCCCGCTGAGGAGTCAGGACAAAGTTGTTTCAAAACTTTTCATACTTGCGCGCGAGATGCACGCCGCTGACAACTCCCTGAAAGGCTGATGATAGATAGCGCTGACAACATACAAGGGGGGTGTTTTAAGCTTATTAATATGAGGTCGGTGACTTTTTGTTTTATACATTTTAGTTACACATCAGTTAACTATATAACTATAACTACGGAGTATAGCTGACTGTAAAGAATCAAAGCCAAACCTCCTCCCTCTGGTAGGTTCGGTACTTTGACATCATCCCATTTCATTCCACGGCCCTCTTTTCACATGGAATCCTCGTTTCCCGTTTCCCCCCTCCTCCCGGCCCCCCGGCAATTGTTTATTAGTAGTGATCACTGACTCCGTACTTGATTGAGAAATGCGGAGAAGTTGAGCTTTTTAAACGTGTCAAAATGGACCCATCGATTCACGCGGCCACCTGCCGAAATATGCCAACCTGCCCGACGACTTGCACAGTAGAGTAGCCTGTCCTGTCCCTAATCTGAATCCTTTCTGCTAGGTTGGTTAGTTGGATGCTGGGGTAGTTAAACGAGTTAGCTACTATAAGTTACTAGTTAAGTTAGTTACTGGGCCCGCGTGTCGCTTAACTTCAGAGCTTCGTCGTTTGTTTGAACCTGGGGCTCCCATCCCATCCCATCCCATCCCACATCCGGTGGCGGGCAGCGGCGGGGGGCTTGAATGAATTCGGAAGTTATGTATGTCATGGTCATGGTGGTCATGATTCGATTCGCTTCGGCATAAAAAAAAAAAAAAAAAAAAAAAAAAAAAAAAAAAAAAACGAGGAGCGGATGTTCCGTGTCCCCTTCTTTCTTTTACCGAGGGCGAGAATAAATCGTCTCATCACAGAGCCAAAACCTGCTCTGCTCTGCTCTGTTTTGCTCAGCTGCGCGCCCTTTTTACTCCCTTCAAAGGTTGATGCTGGATGGAAACCTCACCACATGCCTCTTGTGCTAGCAGCAGCCCGCTTTCCCTCCCCTCTCCCCTCTCCCCTCTCTCCCCTCTTTCAACCTCATGCCGAAATCCCGGATGGATATATAACATCTGTCTTCCTTTGCCTAGGCACATAAACCCGCCGACGGGCGCTGGACCGCTGCTTGGACGATGTGGGATGATGCGCGAGCGGAGATGGTGCGGGGCAAGAAAACACCGCTATACATCCATCCATCCATACATACATACATACATACGTACCATACGTGGGATGGACACGAGAGACGCGGAGGCGGGAGGGGATGTTTTGATTGCTTGTACTCTGCTGATTTTGGATGACGGAAGCGGGATTGGCCCGTCTAAGCTAAGGTAGTGAGTGAGTGAGTGAGTGAGGTGGTCTGTCAGGGTAGGGTAACTAGGTTAACCAGGCAGTCAGTCATTCGTCACTCCGGCTCTTAATAAATGACTAATAACTAGTTAACTAAGTTGGTTTGGTTTGGTTTGGTTAGTTAAATCCTGACTCATTTTGCGGGGGAATATGGCTTCGGTGGAAGTGGATTGGAGTGGATTCAATGGCGATGTTCTATCTGTCGGTCCCCGCAAGTTTCTGAGCTGAGACAGCTGTGACGGTGCAAGCGAGGAGGGGAGGGAGGGGAGGATTGGATAATAGATAGATAGACAACAGAACTCCTACTGTACTAAAAATGCCTACAAGGACTCTTGATTTACACACACACACACACACACACACACCCCTCTCTATACAGTACATACTTCTCTCCATCATCCTCTATGCGTCTTGTATACATGTACAAAATATAGACATTTACATTCACACCTATTTAAAAACAAAGCGGACCCAACCGAAGAGAATACACACACACAAAGACCGAGAGAACGAGGTTTAACAGTCCACCAAAACGAAAGGTCCCATTCTGTATCTAATTTTCAATTCGTGCCTCCTTTCTCCCAGTATTTTTTTTTTATCCGTCATGGGCCAACGCAAAACATATTTGACACCATAATCTATCCCCGTAGAACAATTTAATTAAAAAGAAAAAGAAGAAAAGAAAAAGATAGGAAGGCCCGAGCCCCATCATATCCCATTCTTAATAACATCCATTATAAACAGTGAAAAGAGGGAACAAAGTCTGCCATCAACATCGGCGGAAAGCAAAAGGAAGGGGGAGGGAAAAAAGAGAAAAAGAGAACAGGACATTCTAAAACTGAAAACCAGAGAAACGGCGCCGGAGACAACAGCAACCTATTAAATAGAATCTGTGACATTATCAACAGTTTGGAAAAGGGAAAAAGAAAGGAAAAAAACGACCAACACCGGGCCCACTGACTTCTAGTTACGTATTGATATAGTGGGATGAAAAGAAAAGAAGACAAACGAACCCAAACGAGAACCAAAAAGAGGGTAGGAATGAAAACCCCAAAACACGGAACAAACAAGACCATGTCTCATTACATATATTAATGAACGAAAAAAAAACAAAACCAAAATTAACATAGAACGAAAAAAAGGCGATTACGATGCGAAACTTTGGTGTGCGGTGCAAGGTGTGGACGGGACGGGTTGCTTGGGTTGCTGGGCTGGTGGGTGGCGCGTGCGGACAATGATGACTTAACAAGACGACACTGACGGCTTCAAATCATATACAAAAAAAAAATAGTTTTCCCCTGACGCGATTGTGGGAAAAACGACTGGGAAGCTCTCTCTCTCTCTCTTGTCTATCTTGCATCCTCTCCAAGTCCCAGTTAATTTTTTTTTCCTGTTTCATCGACATCCACACACCACCACACCACCCACTCAGACGGTTCGTCGCCCGAAGGGTATAAATAAAATATTGCGGGGAAACAACAAAGTAAATTCATCGATTTCACTTCTTCCGGCATCCTCAGACTGTTCCCAACTATGAAGCGCCGCAAAGCTATTGAGGGAATATTCGGTTAGTACTTGTTTCCCCAAACACACAGAGCCTTGGAACTGAAAACCACAAAACTTACAGTCTCAACAATAATACCCGTAATTTGATACGGGTCAGCGTTGGAAGCCGGTCTTCGGTCCTCGAAGTAGCCCTTGCCATCCTTCGCGACCTGGCGGGGGATACGGACGCTTCCGCCGCGGTCAGCGACACCATAGCTGAAGGTGTCGATGCTGCCGGTCTCGAGGCGGCCGGTGAGACGGTCCTCGTTACCCTCGCCGTAGACGGCAATGTGTTCTGAGTGGCGGGCTTCGAGTTTCTTCATGGCAGCCTCGATGACCTTCATGCCACCCTCGGAACGCATGGCCTCGGTCGAGACATTGGTGTGGAGGCCAGCACCGTTCCATTCGCCGGGGATTGGCTTGGGGGCGAAGGATATTATGGCGCCGAATTCTTCAGCGACGCGGGCAAGGAGGAATCGAGACATCCAGAGCTGGTCACCGACTGTTGTTCGAGGATGGGTTAGTCCATCCGACACAATTCAAAAAAGGGGGGGGAATTGGATAACATACGGCTAATGCCCTCACAGGGTCCAACTTGGTACTCCCACTGAGCAGGCATAACCTCAGCGTTGATGCCAGAGATGTTGATGCCAGCATACAAACAAGCCTTGTAGTGGGCCTCGACGATATCACGGCAGTGGACCTTGCCAGTTCCGACACCGCAGTAGTACGGGCCCTGAGCACCTGGGAAGCCACCCTTGGGCCAGCCATATGGCCAGCCATCAGCGCCGAGGAGGGTGTACTCCTGTTCTAGACCGAACCAAAAGTGTTCGTCTTCGTGTGCGCGCATGAGCCTGGCAGCCTCATGGCGGTAGTTGAACTTGTTGGGCGATCCATCTGAGTCCCAGGTTTCGCAGAGGACGAGGATGTTGTCACCACGGCGGAAGGGGTCTGGGAACATGGCGATGGGGCGAAGGTAGACGTCCGAGTTCTCGCCAGGGGCTTGGCCTGTTGATGAGCCGTCGAAGTTCCATTCTGGAAGCTCCTCGACTGACTTGACGGGTCCCTTGAGTGTCTGTTGTCATGAGAAAGATTGTTAGTACGTTGTTCCTACGTTGGAAATCATCTCCATTCATTGTGGCATTGTGGTGTGGTGTGCAGACATAAGGACATACCTTCGTTTTCGATCGGACACCACTGGAGGCATCAATCCAGACATACTCTGCCATAACATGGCCCCGCTGGTCAAGACTCATATACTTCATGAGCTATACAATGGCAAAAGAAAAAAAATAAAAAAAAAAGCTATCAGTCAGCTTTCTGTGGTTGTTCTCAAAATGCCATCTCAGCTGTTTATCGAACGAAGTGGCAAGAAAAAAGAAGGGTTCACAGCAACAATAACAAAAAACGTACATTCTCCGTATTGGAGAGATGTGTCGAAGGTAAAGGGTACGCCTGTTCCAAACGCAGCAGGAGCCATCGTGTTAGCCTCGATATAGCTATTAACATCGATGGCGGGTGGGAATTGAGGCTGTTCGGGCTTACCATGACTGTTGATGTGTGAGTGATCTTTTGTTGTGTGTGGGATGAAAAAAATATCAAAGTGGCGAACGAAGAGCAAATCGACTAGCTTCGAGAGTAGAAAAGCGAGTGAGTGATGGTGATGGTGATGGTGATGGTGATGGGATGGATACAGCACCGACTTGGGAGTCAATGAATGAGGATAGAAGAGGATGAGGATAGAAGGGAGAAGGGAGAAGGGAGATTGAGAAACGGGAGAAGGGAAGAGATAACGTATATAAGAAGAAGAGGAAGCAGAAAAAAGGCTGGAACGAGGAAGAAGAGCAGTAATAATATACCGCTGTACCGGGCCCGGGCCCGGGGGTGGGGGAAGGGAAGGTATTTCGTTGCGTCCTGCTGTATCGTCACGTCACGTCACCAGCGCCGTATTGTTCCGTCTGTTTTGCCGTATCGACGAGCCACACGCTTGAGTTTTTCGCATGGGGCGGTGCAAAAAACAGGTTTTCTTGTTTCTTGTTGCCTCAATAATAATAAGTAGACTGGGGGGTTTTTTTTTTTGGTGGTAAAACTCGATCAAAAGTAACTCCCTTTTTTATTCTAACTACAACAACAGCTGTAGAGGTTTACTGTTTATTTTACTGATTTTATTATTCCCCTCGGATGATTTTGTTGAAATCACATCGTGTGTGTGTTCTGTTGTCGAACAAGGGATTGGATGCAGTGCAGTACGTACAGTACGTGGTAAGGTTTTAGATACGTGTACTGCAGCGTATATAAAACAACCGCACAGTAAAAATAAATAAGCTCTTTTCTCTTATCGTAAACAAACCAAAACTTATCCATCTCATCTTGTTTGCGACAAAAACCTCAGACTTCCTGACGTTCCCCCCCGCGTGGAGGAATTGGAATTGCTGCAATCAATCAGGAATTATTATTGTTGATGAAGATATTTACTTCATCTGCATGTGAGGAACAACAATCCGATTGAAACCGGGGTAAAATGTCGATATTCTTTTTTTCCTCTTTATTATATTTTAGTGTTTTTTGTTGAGCAGCTGAAGAATTTTTTTTTTTTCCTCCCCGATGATAGGCCAGGGTTCTGCTCGTATCGTACTAATCCAATGCAAGGGGGAGGGGAGGACAAGCCCCCAAGGGAGCAAGAGAGAGAGAGAGAGAGAGAGAGAGAGAGAGAGCTTGCTTGTTCCTGGTTCGGATCCTTGACATTGTCATCTCGCCCCAGCTAGCTCTACATACACATATAGACCTCCCCCCGGGTCCCCTGCTAATTCAAACATAATAATAAGCCCGTCGTCCCGCGATTCATGCGAATTATTACTGTCATTATTTCTCATCAAACATGATTATTGCGAAGGACTTTCCCGCCCAAGTTCGTTCCTGCTAAGTACGGTGACAGTGACAAGCGCGCCGGCTCTGCACCACACACCCCGCTATGCTCGGGTGGAGTCGGGATAGAAGATAAGGGCCCGAAACAGCGGTGGCCGAGTAATCGGCGGGCTGTGGCAATTAGTAGCAACCCCCCACCTCAACCACCACCTTGTTTTCAAAGCTGGGTGCCTCTGCGTGAGGCTTCACCCAGGTATGATGTCATAATCAGAGGGAACAAGTTTTTATTATTATTTGTCTGCCTGTCTGCGGCCATTCTTCCGTAGATTTTTATTTATTATTATTATGTGATTTTATACAGAGTCAAGTCCGATGTAATCAGCTGCTTTCAAGGCCTTGATTTTTTTTTTTTTTTTTTTTTTTTTAAAAGCTTGTAAACAGTTTCAACAGGTGAAATAATCCAGAGCCAGACTGATACTAACCTTCTCAATATTAAATAACCTCTCTATATAACCTTGGAACCTACCTAATTCCCCCACGTCACGTGGAACTTAGGCTTACTTCCACTGCCCACCGCTCACCGCCCACCGCCCACCGCCCTTCTGCTCAGAAACCAGGTTCTGGCAGGTTCTATCTAGCCTTTGAGCCTGGTTTTCACTCGCCGCCAGCTGCAGGATAGAACAGTATAGTATGTATGTATATATGTATGTATATATGTATGTATATATGTATGATATCGGCCAATTGCAGCCGTTGAAAATGTCAGACACATTGCAGAAATACTCTGTATATGTATAATAATAATACCACTTGTGCAATCTGCAAATCAATGGAAGAAGGGAAATGGGATGTAGCATTTTTAGATTGAGGGTTTTGGAAATTGAATGAATCTATGTTGAAAATGCTGTTTCTCTCTTTATACTATTATTCTATCAGATATTGATGTGGTGATGTTTTCTCTAACTCACTCTCCTGCTAGAATATTTACTCAGAGCCGTTCGTTCGTTTCGTCAACTGGAGGAGAATAGTGGTTTGTTTGTTTGATTGAAGCAAAAAAAAAAGAAAAAAAAAAAAAAAAAAACAGAAATCAAACTAATGCACAACCTCTATGAATGTATGTAGTAAGCTAAACTACTCAAGCTCCACCCCCCCAGCAAGCCAAAAAAAAAAAAAAAAAAAAGGAAGGAGAGGCGGTTTGATTGAATGTGCAAAAATAACTCACTAGTACTGTTAAAAATCCCTCATCTCATATCAACGACAACGACGATTCCTATGAAACCTCCTCCTCCTCCTCCTCCTCCTCCTCCTTCTTCTTCTTCTTATCTGGGAGAAGGGAATGAATCATCCCTTTTTTCAACTGATTATTACGATAATGAAAACAAATTGTGTGTGTTAGAGTTGTTCACTGTGGTTTTTGATTATTGAGCAGAAAACTCTAGTTCCATGTAAGTTAGAGCAGAGCAGAGCAGAGCAGAGCTTGCATTTTCCCGCCGGCTAATAATCAATTCCATTGGGGGGGGGGGGGGCGCGCGGACAAGGCGGTGGACGCTAGGTTAGACCAACTTGGCTATTCCATCCTACCCTACCATTTCCCTACCTTAACCCCTACCCTACCCTACCATTGATAATTTTTATATCAATAGCAAGCATCTCAGATAACCTGATATATATCTGATATTCATAATCCATCATAATCCATAATAATATTAATCTACCATCCGAGCGTAGCAGCGAAATACTACAGTGCCTGTCACGGCCGACGAACGACCAAGGGGCTTGAAAAGATATAAAACTCTTCTTTTTTCCCAGCGCACAAGAAAGTGACAAGCCACAACACAACTTAACCCTAACTCATGCAGGTTTATTATCTTCATGTATTTATTTATTTATGTACATGTATGTACATACATACATTACTATACGGAGTATCTTATTATTCTTTAATATCTCCCCCCCCAAAAAAAAAAAAAAAGAAAAAAAAAGAAAGCAAACGCACACAAAAGAAACAATTTATATTTAGCTAACAAACTCCCCATCCATCCCCTTTCCATCCTGTCTCATCATCCATCTTCAGCTGCTGTTTCACACCCACACACACACCGCCGCCAGCCGCCAAGTCAGTTCATCCCATTCGTACATAAATACCATACTTACATACCGTACAATACATACCGTACCATACTATACCAAAAATGGCCTCCCCTCCCCGCCCGAAGAACGAACTTCCAAGGTTTGGCCTGGGCTTCCTTTTCCCCTGTTTTTTTTTCGTTACTGCCTGGTTTAGGTTAGGTTAGGTAACTTTAGGTCTCCACTTTTGTTTCTTTTTTTAGGGTTCGGTTATCTGTCGCCTTATCGGGCGGCTGTTATTGGCTGGTTGATTACGGAGTACTGGAGAACAAACAAGTGTAAACACAAAAATGATGTGAGAGTAATGGTATTGGGTATGGATGGATGGGTATTGGGTAGGTATGGGGGGGGGGGGAAGGCAAGGGAAGGGAAATTGTGGGGTTAAATAATGATATATATCTCTCCTTCCATGGGATAGATAGTTGTTGAAACACGCCTCCTTTCCCTCCCATCGGACAAAGAAATCGTGCGCTGCTTGAGGGAGTTATGATAGATAGATTAGACATATTGGAATAATGTAATAGTACAGTACAAGTAACATCTATCTTCGGCTTTCCAAAAAAAAGGCCCCCTTCCTTCGCACGGCCACCTGGGGCTGCCTACCTAGATCTTCGCGTCCGCATTATTCACGGCAAGTTTCATCGAATTCGGGGACCCCGGATTCTCTCAACCCCAACCCCACTGTTTCAGAGAAATCAAGAGCGGGTGACGCGGCTACCTCTCACTTGAGGATTGATTGCCGTTTTCGACACTAGACTAGACTGCGCGGATCCGGGAAAGTATGGGCAACAAACAAGCGTTTCATCTGCGGTTTCATCTGGGTCATAGATTCATTCATACGCCTGGCAGCAGGTGAAGGGGGGGGGGGGAAGGGGGGGTTCGCGCGTAGTTCCAGGACATCACTGTTTTGCCGATTGTGGATAGGCGGCTGCTGCCCTGTGGAATGAAGGATGAAGGAATGAGATGTGCTTGGGATAGGGATACCATAGTTACTAGACAGGCATACGCCACATCTTAATCAAAAAAGAAAATAAAAAAAAAAAAAATTACGACTTCTGCTTCCGCATCCACTTCAAGACCCATTCCACCAGCATTCCAAGATCCTCAGAAGTCTGTAGCACTCTTGCGAGTTTTCTGCTGAGGTCCCGCGGTCCTGCTCCGGGGGCGTCGTCTGTGAGGCCCCCTCCGCTGTTGCTACGATCATCGCACATCCCGGCAACCCGCGAGACCGTGATGTTGCCGTTGAGTCCGATATCTACATTGATTGTGATTGTTGTCGGGTTTTCCATGGAGATATTTGGGTTTCTGTTGGGCGCGTTGAATAATAGCAACAAGGAAGGTGGTCCTGATATTGGAGTTCGCAGAGATATGTCCACTCTCCGATCATCATTTGATGGCGAAGGGGTGGAAGATGATACGGCAAATTGAGCGTCAAAGCCGCTCCTTTTATCGTTCCTGGGTTTGGGATCGCTGGAAAGCATCGAGTTAAGTTTGGATACTACAGGCTTGATGTTGGTGATGAATGTGACGTCAGGCTTAGATGTCTGTTTTGACGTAGTCGAGCCCATCGGGTTAGGCGGGAAAGACTTGTTGCTTGACCCGACAGTTTTGTTGTCTTGATTGGCAAATACTCTGTCAAGAAGGCTAGACAACAATGCGTATTGGCGTAAGATCTAGAAATAATCGTTAATAATAATTACTCTTGGAGTATACACAAGAACAAAGGAAAGAACGTGGAAAGGGGCAAAAAATCTATGCACTCACAGGTAGAATATCAGCTAGCTGTCGTGGGTGAGAAAAGGGGAGGTCACGAATGGTGCGTCCGACAATATGCTCAAAGGGATGGAAAGTATAAATATGCCGGTGTTGTTTCGGTTGGTTATCGTCATCAAAGCTATACACGACCCTTTCTTGAACTCTTCCGTTAGATGGTGAGGAGCTATTCTCATCTTGGCCGTCTCCTGTCGAAACAACATTGGGTAGTGGAACTACAAGCCCGTCATATGTAACCGTTTTCGGCTCCGGGGGCATGTTCAACCCAAGCACCCTGTATACCTCCGCTGCTGCAATTATAGGTATATGGATGGGGGGTTCCAGGCGCGCAACAAAGCGCCGATTTGGTGTTGTGGTGCCCAAGGCGGTAGAATCAAGTGTAACGTCATTTGGGCTGGTGACGAGGGTGGCAGGAGGGTCCAGCCAGTTGATCAACAGAATCTCAGAGTCGTTTCCATTAGCAGCTGAAGACGACCCTCCAGTGTTCATAGTCGTAAATGGTTCAGCCGCGACCCATTCGTTCGACACGCGTAATGATGGGTAGCCTTCTTCACACTCGATCGCTGCGCTCCATATTTTATGCTTATTGACAGGGGTTGAATTTTGATCGTCTGGAGTGGGTTGGTCGATACTCATGGCATTCGGAATGACCTTATGGTTTGAATCCAAATTCCGTCTCTGCTCAACCCAATACTGAAGACTCAAACCGATTCTTTTGTTTTGGTGTAGACCAGGTTGGCCTACCTGACTTGTGCAAACATGTTCCCAATGGCTCTTCTCTGGATGCCGGCTTAATTCGCCTTCCCATACTCGTTTTAAACTCTCATACAGCCCTGTCACTGCTTCGAAGCAGTTGACATCACGACTGAGCTGATCCAATTTGGCTAGTCTATGCAAATTTGAATGAAACGCATCGAGGCTCTTCCAAGGCATCTCGTCATGCTCTCCAGTAGACTGCATAAGATCCTGTTTTAGAACCGCAGTGGCCTCCACTCTCCTTTCTCCCTCCACGGTGCTTGGAGTAGTATAATTTAAGCTGACATCCTTAACGTTCTCTGCGCCGTCTTCGAACTGGATCTCCAGATCCACAAAGTTCCCGGCAATGCTTAGGTCATTTTCTTGCCACAAACACTCGAATCCCTCAAACTTCCCTAGCCTCTCCATACCCTCGCGGCATACGCCTCTTCCAGAAACACGGGTTCTGAGTAGTCGGATAACTTCCTCCATTCGGCGAGTTTTCTCTTCATCAGTGTCCCGTGCGCCACTCATGCCTAGGGTCGACATCCCCATTGAATGGATGCCATTATCGTTGATCCCTGATCCAGCTAGAGCATCGTTTCCTGCTGGAGATGGCGTGATACCGCCTAAACCAAGAGCCAACAGCGCTGATGGTGAGCTGAATGCGATAGTATCCTCCACGGAGGCAGGGACAGCCATGGGGGTCGGATACTGATGCGAAGAAACACTGGGATGATGTCCATGGCCAGAAGCAGAAGGCGTCCGAATAGAAGGGGACTTGTGGGAAAGCGGACGACCCATAGGCACTGCTGATGGGTGAGGGGGTGAGGTTGGGTGAGGTGTTTGCCCAGGGTTGTGCTTGGATGAGGGGGTAGCCATGATGATAGATTCGATGCCAACAAGTAGATTTCAAAGAACGACAAATGATAGAAGTCAGTGCGACACAACAACGAACTGGTTTGAGAATATCTAGTCGCATAAAAGGGCCATAAAAGGTCCTTTTATACAGCAGCAGAAGCTGCCACGGCAAGTCACAGCTTCGATTGTGAGGTACAGCTCAATCGTAACCAGAGTCGAGACAACCCTATGCAATCATTTTTCTTTAACAAAACTAACGTCGCTCAAAAATGTGAGCGCCAAAATATCCGGTTTGGATAAGCCTTTGGATTTTGCAGTTCCATCTTGAGCTATTATTGGGGTGAATACAGATTAGTATGAAGTTGAGTGAAGCCTCAGGCTTCAGCTTTGGCGTTGAACGCGAAGTCATGTGATTTGTGATCAAACCTACAAGTGACATATAATCTACTCCGTACGGAGTACGAGCTTCACACTTTTATTAAACGCCTTTTACTCCAATTGCACAATTATCGAGCTAGCAGAAGTATATATATCTCTCTCTATCTCATGGAAACAATTATCTGGAGCGCGCGCCGCGCTATTTTCAACCCAACGCGATTTTACTTTAGATCTTTGACTACCTTGCAGGGCAACTCACATATCGTATGCTTGATATAAGCCCTTCAATTCCAGTTACGCATTAGAAGAACAATTGTGGAAAAAGTGCTGATACTAATTATTCCCACAGTTCGTTTTCCCAAATCCCCAAACCCCGAATAGCTATATACTCTCTCTTTTACCTACAGATCCTCCGAAACCCAACCTTGCGATCGGAGTGACGTCCAAACTTCCTCCAACCACTAACTCTTTGAAAGAAAATCCGGCGTTTCTAAACACGCTCCAGTCAGTCATTGCAGAGCATGCACATGAGGATCCTGAGGTAGTGTCGCAGGCGCAAGTAATGGCTTACACGAGTGGGGTAAATCTTGCTACTGGTGGCCGGGGGCAAAGGCAGCGGAGACGTGGCGCTACCAGTTCAAATGAAGGCTTTAAGGATAGCACAAATTCCACTAAGAGAGGTGGATGGATTCATATTTTCGATACGAGGAATCCCCCGGAGTTTGCTAGGATCGCATGGTAAGATTTCAATCTCGTAGCTCATGTCACCCTAAGACATTAATTTTTTCTCCCTCCCGCAGGCCAGAAGATATATTCGGCAGCCTGGAAGTTGATGGGAACGGAAATATTGAAGGGAATTACCAGCCCAGTGGTAAGTCTATAAAGCGTACCCGGTGTTCGCCCGTCGCTTTTAGTAGGACTTGCTGGTTAAAACAGTGGAATGCTAGGTACCTACCGGGTCATCACCTCGAATGGAATGTACGTGCTAATCCCTCCTACGAGATAATGTTCACCACTGACAAGCATGTGCAGCCTTGGTCTCAGTCCATTTTTGCGAGAGAAGCTTGTTCAGCGCCTTCGATCAGAGGAGAATAATTAGCGCAGCTAGACGCTAGAAATTTGCATTTAGGCAAACCACTCCACTCCTAATATATGAACCCCCATGGTGTGAAACATGGGATTGCCGAATCATTTATGGCAGGCCACTGCGGCACCACGAAGGTTTAGTGCTCTGCATATTTGGCTGCTCAATTGAAACACCTTTGCGTGGACCCTTATAAGGATCATTCTCTTATACCCTCGTTGTGTTAACAGTTGTGCCATTTTTGCCTGGATTCCTTCAATATTCATGATGGGATTGCCTGTGCATATACCGCGACAGCATCATAGGAGCAACATATAGTTTATGTCTTATAGGCTTGCATGCACAGCGCGGGAATATATCAAATATTTCTCGAATCGTGGCTCGGCTTACAAAACCTGCCAACACTGTATTGTGGACAAACCATAGCACGGTCGTATCTCGTTATGGCCCTTCTTTAAACAAGTGGCAATTGAGACAATGCACTCAATTCGCTTGTCCTTTATCCTTTCCAACACTCATCCCATGGGGAATCAATCATATCTGTGAGAAAATGTTTACATGTGAAAGGAAGGAAGAATAGCAGCTACAAAAATGACCTGTGATGTCTTTGTCAACCCACTGACAGAATGGGCCAGAGTGCAACCTGTTTAGACTACTATATAACCACTTAAGCTGCTGCTTTTGGTGGGCGCAGGCGACGAGTGGCTCAATTAGTGGATTTCTTTCATGAAACCCAGAACATAGCACGTTACCAACATAATAAAGATCATTAGAGAATTCGTGAAGAAACAAATATCCAGCGTACACATGTGAAAATGACAGCAGCGGGGGCGGGTACAAGACAACAAAGCTTAAAATCAAACGCGGGCATAAACCTGTCAACCAAGGCTAGCTCTCCTGTGTGTATTCAGCCCCTCTTCCTCCAGTGTTAGCTGGTGGTGGTTGAGCTCTTTTGCCCCAGTAGCTGACAAAACCAGGTTCTTTGCGGCAACTTTGGTCTTCTCTTCTTCCGCCATAGTGGGCAGCTATGTACGGTTTAGTCCCTGTTCCGGTTCCGCCCTTCACTTCACATATTCCGGTGATGAGAACACGCTAAAGAAGCATCCCTTTCTGCGCCATCTCCAAAAGTCCACAACTTTTATACTGAGGCTTTATGTATGTGCATTTAGAGTCAAATATCCCACGATGTCAATAAGAAAGAACTCCATCGAAGCAAATATTTGTAAAAATTTCATTGAAGTTGAAAAGAATCAGCAATATGTCGACATTAATATATGTAATTGATCCGTAGGCAGTAGAGACAAATGTACAGGTTCCAAATGGTATCATAGTAAACAAAGCGAATGAAGAAGACAACTGAGAATGCGGCCGGCCCTTTCCAGCATCGTTATTTTTTGAAGAAACTAGTAATTCGTTGCGTCCCGCTTGTCGTCCTTTTGGCACCCCCCTGCTTAGGAGTTGACCCGTTGCTTGTGGCACTCCTCATTTTTCTACCAATGGGCTTTGTGGGGGAGTGGATAACATCTTTCTTAGGAGATGGCTGCACAGAGTCTGATTGCGTTATCTTGGGGAGTTTGGCAGTCACATCAGTGTCCTCAGCAGCCTTCGGAGATCCCCGTTTTCGTTTGACCGCCGGGGTTTGCGAAGCGGATGGGGCATCGGAATCTGACTTGAACGAAGTCAAATATATTGCATCTTTGTTACCCTCTTCTTCTTCTTTCTTTACTTTGCTCTCTTGATCAAGCGCTGAAACATTCTTTGCTCCTGGTTTTTCACCGCTAGATTTGCTGATATCGCGAATTTGGGATTTCTGTCCAGGCTTGCCTTTGCTCCCAGCACTGGCGAAAAAGTTCGCAATGTTGCTTTTATTCTCCTTGCTGTTTACTGGGATAATGAAGTCTGGAGAATTGTTTCCTACTTTCCCTACTTCTTTGCTGACGGGGTAGCACTCGAGCTCCCCTTCGTACGGTTTGAGGATGGATTGGAGTTCCTTTGACCAAGTCACGCGATGGGGATCCAGCCATGTAGCCATTTCAGGGCTACCTTGATCGAGAATGACAGGCATTCGATCATGAAGAAACTTAAGATAGGGATTCGAATCAGTGGTAATTATAGTGTACGTGTAGAGTTTCTCATCAGAGCCTATGCTTGGTTGTCAGAAAGTGGCTTCTGAGTGCTATTGTATTTGAGACGCCGGAACACTGCAGAATTTAGAATGGAACCCATACCTTCATACTGAACACAGTCCCACAGACCCGCGAAACACATCAAATCGCCGTCCTTTCGTCGGACATAGTGGGGAACTTTCTCTTTCCCACCGGGTCCCTTTTTCAGCCATTCGTAAAAGCCTTGACAGACTACAACACAGCGCTTCTTTTTCTTCATTGACGTCCACATTCCCCTATCCTCGATTAAAGAATCGTCGCGACAGTTGATTGTTTTCAGCATGGAGCCGTAATCAGGGGACCTTTTGGTCCAAAATGGTATTAAACCCCATTTCATGCTTTGAAGTTTATAATGAGTTCTGCGCTCTGTTGTCTTCGTAGAGCCATCATTTGCCCCTTGATCTTCCACTTGCTCATTGCTGCCGGTGTCATCGTCCTGGGAACCAACAGCGCCACCGTGATCAGAAGCGTCTGCGCGATAAACCGCGCCGTAACTCCCAGGGGCAAAGTTGTAAGTTTGCCTCACGTCATCGTCATCTGCGGCCTCATCCACAGGATGGCCACGTTGTTGTAATTGGTTTCGGATGAACGCGAGGCGCTACACAAAAAGGATCATCATTAGACGGCCAGAAAGAGCCTGAAGGGAGGTAGAATGACTTGACACTCCGTAAAGGTGGCGGGTTACATACAATACCCATGGCATACCGGCCACACATCTTGAATGTAGTTTTCCTTATATACCAATGTGCGTAGTATAAAAAAGCTGGAAACGGTCTTGAGGTTTTGCACTGGAAATAGCAGTTGCCGTTGAGACATGATATTGCCAAGACGTCATTGCCTTGGGGTGGAGCGGAGTGGAAGGGAGCTCGGACCATTATGCCAAGAACGGACAAACAGAGCAAACAGACCTGATATCAATCTATTTTCCCGCAGCTCTTCCACCCTGAATTCTTCAAAAAAAAGCTTCGATGCATCTGGCGAGTTATTTCCGTTGAGCCCTGCCATTGATGCTGCATTCTGCGTATGGAAACACATCTGCGTCGTCTATGCTGAATGGTTTCAAGAAATTCGTCTTAAAAATTCAATTTACAGTACGCAGCCTATCGGCCATGTTCCGGCTGATACCAAAGCGCATCAGCGCCTCTCCGCCCCTCCGCCAACCACAAACCCTCCCCTCCGCCGTACGATTCCTCTCCACCACACCTCGATCTCATCCTAGGCCTCAAATAGCCCCGTTACCGAAATATCGACTGATTTCCAACCCGCCGATACAAGTCCGGTTCAACAGCACCTCGCGCTTCCAAAAATTCAGGCAAGATTACAAGGAAGCGTGGGGTAAAATATGGCAAACAAACCCAATTGGCTTCCCGCTCACTCTATTATTCGTGGCGGTGAATGCGGGGTTACTTGTATACATCATATACGACCGGGTTACTCGGGTAGACCCATACCTTAACAGATTTCCGCCAGAGGTGGCTGCACCCCTTCGCAAAGCGCTTCACCATTCTGAAATCCGACCAGATCCTATCTTGGCACTGCAGCTGTTTAGGGAGGCACTTGTTGTTGCCGAACATGTTCAGATGCACCCATTCTCTGACGAAGTCCTGGGTATAAGAATCGCAGCCGCTGAAATGTTGGAGAAAAATGGGCTGATCAAAGCATCCATTGACATGCTTGAGAAGACTCTAGCAGACTGCAAAGAGTGGGTAACCAATGGGAGGAGAAGGCAAATGATAATTGATAAACAAAGAGTCCACAATCCCCCCGTTGTACCTGTTGACCCTGAAGCTGCGGAAGCAGCAAAAAAGGCACTCGAAAAGGAAGGAATGGAGGCGAAGCTTCGTGACCAAGTTATGAAAAAGGTCATTGGCATTAAAATTAAACTAGCAGATTTATACTCGAGTAATTCCGTGCAGGATATGGACAAAGCGGAGAATTCCCTCATTGGTGCGGTTAACGAGAGTGCTGGGGAGGTCCGAAGGCGCAGAGAATTGAATCTGCCGGTTTCGCGCGACGATGGAGATGACTATGTTAACCTCACTGAGATTGCTGCGTCGTGCAATGACCTGGCTGATTTATATGCCAAAAAGGGCAAACACCACCTCGCTGCGACCTTATACATACAGAGTCTAGGTTTGATCAAAGAAGAGGAGGGCCAGTCGACGACGTGCGCGCAGGTTGTTCTCCTTAACAACATCTCTTCCCAGATGGCAGAGGAAGCTCAAAGGGCAACTGGAAAATCAGCATCGATACCGAGGTCAGACGGCTCACCGATATCTAAACCGGAGCTATTAGATGCTGCCGCACAGTGGGCAAAGAAGGCTTTGGATGTTGCAGCACATATCAAACCGCCAGTCCGGAACGAAGATTGCGATCAATCGTGTCTGGCTGCGCTGTATAATTTGGGCGAGATTTCGGAGATGCAGAAGAAATTCGCAGAAGCCCGTGGTTACTATGAGAAGGGCAGGCAATTGGCCTCTGAGCTACAGTTTGAGGAGGGAATTAAGGTATCAGATGATGCTATAAGGAGACTTAACAAATTGAAATAGGCCTGTTTACTTCTATGGAAAATTTTTTGTCTTACTTTTTGTACTATATATTTATACAATGATACCCTGCTACATTGCTAGATTGGTCTTCGATGAAAATACTATGCCACCTCTATTTACTTTTAATCAACAGTGACAGGGGAACAATGCAAATATGACACAGCTAAAGATGGAATCGTTTCTAGCTTCACATGTCCTCTTAGTAGGTCAAGCACTGGACTCAGGCTTCTGCGTGAGTCTGATTGACCTGGAGGATTTCTGGGACTATGATGGTGGAGAAAACTGGTTGATTCATTCTAAGATGTGAAGTAGAGATTCAGTAAAAGTCCAACCAAAATCGAGCAACGTTAATAAACCAAAGCCAAGGCGTTGTTGTGAAGCATGGGGAAATGTAAGTCTACATCTATCACTAGAAAGAAAATCGACACGGGAGCAGCGTGGCGCCGAGAGCACGACCATCCATCTTCTGGTTAATAGGCACTTTGGTTAGATCTTGGATTTCTTTCCGGCCAAACTTAATGAAGTCTACTGTGACTCGATAAAATAATCCAGCAGTAACAGCGAGTCTTCCGGCACTAATAGAAGAAGCGACGGTTCGAGAGACACAGCGAAATAGGCCTTTGGAACTCAAGTGTTTTCGCGGGATATTAAGGTGATGGTTAACAAGAGTTGAAGGAAAATATTGTGGGAGAAAGCTCTTCCCGATGTACAGCAGTGACCAAAGCTGGTAGACGCATGGAGGATTCTCTCAAAAAAGATATGTATCTACGATCATAGAAAAAAAGTCGACCATAATTCGAGGAGGAATTTAAGAACATAGAAAAATTAGTTGGTATTTTTTTTTTTGTTCGGCTTTGCATTTCGCATTCCTTGCTTCTAGATTAGTAAGGGCATGCACGGTATGGAAATCATGTTTTGATTCGAAACAGTGGCATGAGACAATTTCTTCCTCAGCGTGGAAGGGATTTGTTTTTTTCGACAGAACTTAACTTTCTTTCTTTGGTCCTCTTTTTATCTCGATAAAAGGGTGGGAAAAAAAGGCAAGTCAACTCTATCAAAAAACACAGAAAACTCCCGTTCCAGTCCACCGAAGAAAGAAAATGGGAGAGAGAGAGATATAATAAAGAAAAGGGGTAGGTGGTTTTTGTCATTTGCTCATTGCTCATCCATCGCAACCCAGCCATCCAGCCTGTAATTTCCACAACAGCTCCGTTTTTCTATTTGCTTCCGCCCCAGAGACAAACATATTACACATAAACGGGCACACACAGAGATCCCTCCTACGTTCTCGACATAACACCCCAGGCTCGGATCTTATTATCAGTGTATCCAGCAAACAGAGTCTGGCCATCAGCGCTCCAAGCCAAGCTTATGCACTCAGGCTCACGGCTCTTCTTTCCCTTCTCAACGAATTCAGGCTTGAGCTCGTCGACCTTGCTCTTCTTCTCCAGATCGAAAATGGTGATGCTGCTGGAGGTGGCAGCGCAGAGCCAGTAGCGGTTGGGGGAGAAGACGAGGGCGTGGATCTCGTCACCGGCTTGGAGGGAGTAGAGGTGCTTGGACTCGTTAAGATCCCAGAGCATGGTGGTGCCATCCTTGCCACCGGAGGCACAGAGGGATCCGTCGGGGGAGATGGTGACGGTGTTGATGTAGCCAGTGTGGCCGATGTGGTCGGTTTGGATACGGCAGGATGAGAGTTCCCAGACCTTTTTCAAGTTTCGTGATATTAGCCAAAACGAAATCTACTGGAAATATGGTATTCATTTGTGCCTTCTTTTTCAACCGTATGAAAAATTGTAAGGGTTTTCCATCAGGGCAATTGGTGAAGTTTGTCTCATGGCCTCTTAAGGGCTCTGAAGTAGCAAATACGTAAATGCAAAACATCATTTGGGCATATATAATCGTAAATCCGACACATATGCAACTGGGGGGGGTTAGGGGGTCGCAATTGAGCGATATGTCAAATATTTATTTCGTACCTTGACGAGTTTGTCCCAGCCAGCAGAAACGATGACGGGGTTCTGGGGGTTGGGGCTGAAACGAACGCAGGAGACCCATTCGGTGTGTCCCTTGTCGGTGATGGTGAACTTGCAGTCACCCAGGGTGTTCCACAGCTTGATGGTCCGGTCGCGGGATCCGGACACGATCTGGCGGTTGTCGGCAGAGAAGGAGACGGACAAAACATCATTGGTGTGGCCAACGAAAGTTCTGGTGGTGTTGCCAGTAGCCAATTCCCAGAGACGAAGGGTTTTATCCCACGAAGAAGAAAGCGCGTAAGCACCGTCGGACGAGATCACCTAATTCACGAGAAGAGGGAAAAAGCAATGCACAAGAATCAGCCGATATTGCTCCCTCAGAAGACCCTTTTTAACAACTCCTTTTTGTTTTTTCAAAGCTTCTGGGATGGTATTCTTTTTTGCATACACAGTCGGAGACAATGTGCGAGTGGCCATGAAGGCTCCGCTTGGGATATCCGTATGCGGTATCATCACGAGTCAAGTTCCAGATGATCAGGGTCTTATCGCGACTGGCGGAAAGGAGCATATCGGGGCTAACATAGTGATTTTGCCAGTCAGAATTCCACTGTGTTCTTTTTGGCAAGCTTCGAGATATATTTATATAAGAAAAAAAAATTGGTTGTAGCTTACTTCTCCAACGAAGTGGCCAGGGAGGTGACCCAGCCATTGTGGCCTTCGAGGGTCCCGCGGTGGACAAGCTGCTCAGCCATAGTGTGCAGGCTCTCGGTCGAAGTCTGAGAATATCAGGGAAATCCTCGTGGGGGGGGAGGGTTGGAAGGAGGAGGATGGATGGCGAGCAAAGCAATGTCTGTCGTTGAGCTGGTGGTTCTTCGTCGTCGTCTCTTCTCCCAGATGGAGCGAGGTTCCGGCGCCCAGACGAGCCCTAAGCGCAATTTGGTGGCCGGCTTTTTTGTGTGTGCGCCAGAGCCCTAGCGGACCTAAGCGAGAGGGGTGGGGGTCACGTGGATCTACACGCCGTATCAGACATACAAAAAAACACACACCCACCAGGGTGAAATGATCTAGCTACAAGGAGTATATATACACGTTTTACATTAAAGCAAGGCAAATGACAGCGCCAAGAACAAATCTCATGCGTTGACTCTATGCAGGTCAGGCATCTGTCCTAACCCTCCTCCACTCCGGCTCTGCCCCTTCGCCCCCTTTACTCCAAGAGCACTCTTCTCATGCACATGCTGTCTCAATTGAGCAAGGATCTCAGAGTCCTTCCACCGCTGCGGAACAGGTCTATATGCAGGTTTGAATGCCCCTACAGTCTGCGCCCATTCTCCACTCTTTGCAGCGCCGCTTTTCCACGTCTCTGTCGGGGTATCCTGGGCTTGATTGTCGGATATGTTTGTTGCGGAAGGCGAATTGGCGCCATCTGTCACGGATGGGTCCTCTGCCTCTTGAGTCGCCCAGTAGTAGATATCCCAATCATTCTCATCCAGGAATTTGTCGTATTCTTGCAGTTGTCGTTCTGTCATCGTCGGGAGATGCTGGGATGCAAACGTCGAGAGGAGAAGGTCGGATTCTAGGATGCCTCGCTTTCGGCTTTGATCTACTTGTCTGTTAGTTTGGCTTTCTGTAATAAGGGGATTATGCCACTATAAGTATAATGGCATGGGTGTAGTAAGACACGTACACAGCAACCTAGCCCTCATCGTCGTAATATCTTCCCCTTGCCGCCTCAAAGGCTCAACCTTAAAAGTAATCCCCTCCATCTCCCCAACGCCCAACTCAGGTTTCCTCCCCCCGTCCGTTTTCACACTTGTGCCTGTCATATGCTCCATCTTACCCGGGACCGCATTGCGCGGCTGGTAGTCGGGATCCGCTCCTGTGATCAAGTCTGGGGGCGGTGATTTCGCGCCAACTTTGGGAAAGTCATCGGTGCTTGTCGGCGTGGTATTTGTCAGATGTGGGTTCAGAGGCTTAGACTTCTGGGTTTCGCGGTGTAAGGGAGCAGTCGAGTGGCCGCGTTCATTCAGGTTGCTGGCTCGGAATGTTGTTGAGCTCAGCGATCGATGGGATGCGGCTCCGGCTTGGCGTTGGAAAAATGAAGACACTGCTCTGGCATTGGAAGGGCGCAGAGCGCGCATGAAGAATTGTGGAGTACCTAGAGTTGACATTCTGTAACAGCCCAAGCGCGCTATTAAGGATGAATGAATCGATAGTAAACAAAGGTGTACGGAGTGTAGAAGGATGAATTTATATCGGGACAGGATTACCGAGCTTCCTAGGTTGACATCATCCCGGTGGTCTGTTTGCCGTGTTTGCATTCAGAAACAGGATTCGCGAAACCGGGCCCCTGAGCCGATCAGGGCGCTGAAGTCCCCTCTATATATATTTACAAGATATGGGCTAAAGTCAATCGGGATTTCCTTTTAGCAGGTTCATTTACCTCTGGACGTCATCTGCTAAATCCACACATCCTCATTACCCTTAACATAGTTACTGGGCGGGTGATTGAGTAGCAGGGGATACTGCGCTAAACAATACAAGAGATAGATTCGGTATTTCATAATAACAACAATTACGGAAAAATCTGGAAAGCTCTGCCAAAAAGAAATAATAATGCATATGTTCTCCATCATCCTTCATTACAGATGCCATTGAAAATCCCAATGTAAGACGTCTGCAGAGGGAAATAAAGCAGTGCGCAGGTAAAATTAAATCGTCACGCCTTTAGATAAGATGCTTCGACCTGGTAGAATTTAAAACAAAAATCATTAACCCATAAAGCTCCTGACATACAAACAGAGAATGCTGATAAGGAGAAGGGAAAGAAGGGGAATCCCTCTTCCAGTCCCGAAGGATCGGAATTTATCAGAGCAAATAAAAAAAAAGGGGGGAAGGAAAAACACACCTGAAATACGCTCTCAGATAAACAACCTGCCACGCGCCCAATCCTATCAGCATACCAATAGTCCCAAAGGCAAACCATTTAACTCGTTCGTTCGTGCTCTCATTCGTATCTCTCAATTTCTGCTCGCGAGTCCGCATGTATTCCATCTCTGTCACGATCTCGGCGACCATCGCTTCAATACGGCGCAGATCAGCCTCGACCGGTCGTAGCTTCTCTTGTACCTGAATGGCCGACCAGTCGCGGGCGTCGGCTCCAATATCAATGTCAAGTTCGACGGAGCGGGAAAGGGCGCCAGTAGCTATTCAGTTTGAAGATGCAGCGTTAGGTTACTTTGAATCGTAGCACGGGGTAGAGTATGAGCTGGGGAAGTAGGAACGGTCAAATGTTTTCACTTACGTCGGCCAACGAGGATGTTCTCAAAGCACACGTCGAATGCAGTATCTGCCCCGGAGGTAAACGCTTGTCGTTTCTCGCCGACGACGTCCTTGGGCCTGCCGTAATCATTACCCATCGAGTCTTTAATCTATATTCCCCCAGACAAACCGACCTGTTAGTTAAATGGCAGACTGGAAATTGAATACAAATAATGTGGACTTTGCAAAACCATTTTGTCCCGGAGCACGAGAAAAATAAAAAAGCTCCAGGTGAACCCAAAGAAGACAAAAAAAGGGCTTCCAGGAGCCTAGAAAAACATACATGCATGTTAACAACCTGTCCATCACCTTTGGATCCACCCACAATCGCCGTCACAACAACCAGCTGATCCTTATTCACAAAGTTTCGTATACATCTCTCCTGATTTGTGTTGGCAGGGAGATCGAATTTCAGGGCCGTGGAGAGCTGGGTTATGCAGAGGAGGAGGAGCATGAGAGGCCGCAGGAGCCCAGTTAAGGGCGACGTACACGAGCTGCCCATTTTGTGTATCCCCCCCTTTTTCTTCTTTCTATTTTCTGAAGCAATGTGCGGGTGAGCCCGTTCTACCGACCACGGCCAAAGGGGAAAGGAAAAGTCAATGGAATGGTGTTGTATTGCTTCTTTTGCATATAGCAGAGCAAAATAGCTGAGGCCAGGGAGGTGTTGCGGAATGCCACGATTTAGTTAGAGTTGGCTCGGACACGGAAAAACATTTCTGCGCGGCGATATACTCCAACTTCGGGAAGCTTCATGCACGAATACTTGAGAGACAACGGAAATTTTGGCGTTACTAGAGGTGTATATTGCAGCAAGATTAGAGGGTAGAGGCCTTCGAGATTTTGCCCTCTGGCAATGTTCATATATCGTTTCTACAACAAATAGAATATGGAAACAATCTACACCATATACCCTCTGAATGGACAGAAATAGATAATAAAAGACTAAATTAAATAAATACTAAGATTACTCTCCACGTAGTAACCGTACAGATCACTAGCTAAATAAGTAGTCCATCGTGTTACGGAATGGGATATCGCAGTGGTTTCTAGGACGGACTAAAAGAAGGGATCAAAAGGGATATTGAGCAGTAGAGCACCGGTTAATACAGAAGAAATTTGCACATTAAATCATATTACCACCTAGAGGAAAATCATTTAGAGTACGAGTACACAATTGAGCAAGTGACGCGACGCGGAAAAAAGAGAGAAAAAAAAAGAAAAAAAAGGAGGGACACGGTATCGTACGGGGCAAATAGGTTAAAGAGACATAAGCGAAAAGCGGGGAATACATACAACGTACATTCAAACCGCCGGAGAAGTAATTTCCGAAGGAATCAGAGAAGTAAGAAAGATGACAAAGGAAAAGTTAAAACGTACAAATGGGTTGGTGGGTGAAGATAGCTCTAGAGAAGCGCGGCTAACAAGTAAACGCCAATACTCGTCGTCTCCGCAAAGAGGAAAGGGGAGATCTTAGGATTGAAATACACCAAGATGTCCTGAGACGAACATGGGCATGGAAAATGGAACAAACGATCACACATAGTGGCCACATGAGAGTGCCAAGTAGAAGAGTAACACGGGAAAGGTACAGAAGGCATTATTAGGAAATGTATCATCATCCTCGCTGAAAAGCGGACCGTTTTGAGGTGCTCAAAACCATAGTCGTCTCGTAAAAAGCAGGCAGAGGTAGGTAGGGACAATTGGGGTAAAAAGCGTGGATATCCAAATATACAAAAAAAGAAAGAGAAAGAAGCTGACCAACATAAATAATAGCTATACATAAAAGGCATTTAAATGGGGCCGAATAATCCAACTCTTTAGTAATGAAGAAGAAAATTGGGGACAGGTAGATCATAGGAAAGCAAGAACAGGTTTAAACCGCCTGTTTCTTTATCCGCGAGAACATCCTGCTAAAGGAGCTGCCGTTCCCTTTCTCTCTTTCCGCGCCAAAGGATGCCCCTGAAGCCGGGCGAGTAATGGGCTCGGGCGGTCCAGTGCTCTTTAAAAAGTCTGCAAGCTCCGCAGTCGAACTTTGATAAGCCGTCGGCTGACTTTGCTGCGGGCGTTGAGCCCCATTGGCTCTACCATCAGAGTTGCTCTCTACGTAAGCTCTGTAAGATGAAGGGGGTGAATAGCTCCTATTGATATGAGAATTTGAGCGAGAGAGTTTGAGTCGAGTTGTCTCCAGAGTCGGGGCTGTAGGGCCTGGTGGGGACGAAACGGTGGTGGTATTTGACTTATAGGAACGAAGAGATGATCGTGACAGCTTAGTCGACGGTACTTTGTCCACGGATGTAGCGCGCATTAGCCGGGTCCTCATGGAGGCAGTACTCTTCATTCTCGCTTTACTTGCCGCATTCATATTGACAGATAGAAGCTGGGGAGGTTGGTCTAATTCGGGAGGTGGAGGAGCATGGCGTAAAAAGTCAGCCAAGCTCTCTTCCTCTTCTTTATGGGCCTTGAGGCCTCCAAAGGAGATCCCGATCTCAAACTCATCGTTGTCACTATCAAAATCGATGGCATAGGGATCTTTCACTCGCCGCTGTTTTCTGGCTGGCATAGAACTTTCGGATGTGTCAGTGGCGTTACCAGAAGCGGACGGACCAGGCTGTGTTCGAATATTGGCGCGGTTTGGGGAATCGAGCAAGCCGGTACGCGAGTTGAATGAGGAAGGGACGGATTTCGTCGTGGTTGAGTCGGCATGTGAGCTCGGAGTGTAGCTCTGTCGTCCAGAATCTCGATGAACACCCCTAGGACTTAGCAGGAATTCATCCGAATCCATCGTTGAACGGAACGGGGCGACCGTCCTTGGAATTCGATGGGAGCCGTCTGGGGGCCCTTCTCTTATGAAGTCGATGAGATCCGACGTGCCATTGTCCTTTGGTGCCACCGCTGGCCTGGCTTCTAGGCGCGGAGCTGACTTTTTTGGTAGTTCTTTGGTAAGAACGTGTGAGGGGCGAGACGATGTTACTGATGAAGTCCCGCTGCTAGTCAAACTCAGCTTCCGGTTGCCCGAGCCACTGCTCCCGTTGACAAAACTGGTCGTGCGACGCCGGTGATTCATTGGAGCTGCTGTAGTTTGCTCGGGACCGGTAGATCTAATGAATTCGGCAAAGTCTCTCAGTGACTCTCTTTCTACCCTCGCATCCCGTGCTTGTGGTGTAGCTGTCTTGTGTACTGATGACTGGGGGCGGCTAGAATGGGCAAGCGAAGCCTCTACAAACTTGGACTTGTTCGGCGAAGCAGTGGACGGAGTGTGTATGCGCATCGCATTTAGTCTGGAGGAAGCCACACTTGGTCTCCTACCTTCCGATGTCTCTCCTGCGGGGCTGGTAGTTTTCAACGGCTCGTCCATGTCAGCTATCTCGTTTCGCGTGGCTCCCCATCGAGGGGAATTGGAATCCTATAAAGTAGATTAACATCAAGCTCGGGGTACAGGCCGAAGCTAAAACTTACCTCCATCTCTCTCATGTTCCGCGGTGTCAGTGTGAAATGGATAGTTTCATCGCTTTGAATCAGTTGGTCCAAGTCCGTAGGGTCCGGAACGGCTTCCACGAATTTAGACAGAGTTGAGTTTGTTTCAGTGGAAGTGCGTATTGGAAAAGGAATCCTGGAATCATGGTCACTAGGTTGTCGTCCTACCAGGCCCTTTAACAATTTGTTAGAAACCTGTGAGGTAGTGGATCCTGACGTTATCGGCCGCTTATCCCGATGGCTGCCGATACTCAGGGACCGACGAGGTTTTGAACCTGTATCACGAGGGGTCGCAGGCGGCGGAGGAGAAACTCGTTGAACTGCAGCACGCTCAGATCCAACCGAAACAGAGGAACTCGGTGGATACCGGGGAGTTGTATTCCCGCCGTTAGAGGCTTTCATATGTTTCCGCGAATTACTCCGGGAGACAGATTGTCCACTTTGGGTGGTACAAGTCGACTGGGCACCGAAAAACGAATGTGGAGAATCTCGGTCAGGGATGCCACTAGAAACGTTATCAACCTCCTGATGTGGACTGAGCCGAGTAGACTGGAACGGAGCTCTGTTTGATTCGGTAACAAAAGATGTCTCCACGATTGAATCTTGAGAAGATGCGTACTGTGCATGAGCCTGTTGGATATTAGATTGGTCCGAATGCCTGGAGGCACCATCTTCACCAACGGTACATTCCGGAGAATGTTTCTGAACGGTTGTAACGACACGTGCCCTATATTGATATTTGGGTTCCCGGTTATCTTGAATATTTTCATTGTTCATACGCTCGCGGTGGGCCCTGGGGACTTCAGACGGTTGGTTATTTTCTTGTTTAGGGCCTTGGGTTTGGGGGATGGGCTTTTCTTGGCTCCTTTGCGAATGAAGCTCCGCATGGTGGAGTATTCCATTCGAAAACTTTGGACTATGCAACTGAGTCGTAGGCGCAGAGCTTAGGATTTCAGAATGGCCACTGCTCTCAGCATCGTCTTCAGTATCTGCAGGTTCTTGACGTTGTTTGCTACGAGGAGGAATTTCAGGTGGGCTAGATCTAACTCCCGACAATCTGTCCGAGAGCTCGTCGTCTTCAATCATAGTCTCGAGGTGATTCTGTTCATCTCTCGCTGAATGAGTGGCCGAATTGGGGCCAAAATAGAAACACCCGTTTGGCTGCAGCGGCCAGCTTGGTGAGGAAGGCAACGACTGGGAACGAGAATGAATACCCTGAGGATCATTCATACCGCTTCGCAGCCTCGCGGAGTGTGAAGCAGATCGATCCCATGTTGGGGAGGCGGAATCAGATCCGGATAGGAGGAGGCTTCGAGGGCGTAATGATCGTGCTTGAACGGCAATGGAAAGTTTGGTTGTAAATCCAGGGACCTCGATTTCATCCACGTCATTTTCAGATACTGGGATTGGTATATCCGCCGGATTTATATCTTCCTCCAACGAAGCCTTAGTGGATTTCTGCAATGTTTCACTTGCGGATGGCTCTTCTATTGTCCCGATACTGCTTGCTCTACTGGTGCCTCTCAAAGGGAAGAGGCCCCGCCGTATCATTGACTCTCTGGAAAGTGTTCTGGAGAGCATGGGAGTCCTCACGTTTCTTCTCCACATGCGCCACAGCCGCCCAAGGGTTGGGTTTAGTGCTAGCTTCTCCATGTCCATATCTTCGACTACTAATATCTCGACATCTGGTGTATCAGAATGCTCGTCCCGTGCCCTGCTAGACCTGCCCGATCCCACCCGAGTAGAAGCTGCCTCGCCGGCGATGATTAGGGAGTGTTCACCAATATATTCCAAAATTGAGGTAAGAAATATGGCAGCGGCGGGTGTAATGTGGCCAATACAATTGGAAAAGCGAGCGGGACCAACATCCGTTTCATTTAGCCCCTCTCGAAATAGATGTTCTTCCTCATCCTCCTCCTCCATGTCGCCCAATCGCGTATAAACCATGCATCGTAAGCGGGTAAGTTTCCATGATCGCTCGAGCTCAAATTGCCCAGCAGGCTCGCGGCCACCACGAAAGTCAGATAG